GCCACTTGACCAGCCCCGAGCCTACTCCTTTTTTATAACTCTCTAGCCTTTGATCCAAGAGAGGGAGGCCTCTAAATGTGTTTCTCAAGCAACCCACAAGATAGAGTTGGCCACCTGATCCATGTGGAAAGTCTTTCATTCTTGAGCCCTCTCCCCAGCTGTTGTACTGATGGGGCCCACATCAGTGTGGGTTTTCTTTCAGGAAAGAAACCAGTTCTGTCCCATTTCCTAGGGGGTGTGGGAACCATTTAATCAAAAATATACCAGAGTTGCCAGAGTTATTTTATATGTGGTAGTAATTATATCAATTATACCAGAGTTACCTGAAAATTATATCAGGAGACAGAGACAACAGGGATCATTCAAAACAATTAATAGCCCAGAAAACTTCCTTAGGCCATTGTGACTTGAGGTAAAAGAGGTAAAGACTCTTTTGATAAACCCAACCAAGTTTTGACTAACTTGAACGCTCAGGAAATAAAAGGAGCTCTGGATAGGGAGATTTGGTGGTTTATTGTGAATTAGGCAAAAATTTTGTCCACCTCTTGTTGAAAATGTTTCTAAAATAAAGTTCCTATCTTAGTAATTACACTTCAAAGATGAGACTTGAATCTTGATTTGCTAGATAAGACTTATAATGCCATAAGTTTCTAATCTTCATTGGCTCCCTATTGCCTCCTTAGTGTTGTCATTCAAAGCTGCCTGAAGATGCCCTCAGTCTGGCTTCCCATTACCTCTCTTTTGCCAAAATTGTCAATTCACAGTTCCCTGTACATCACTTGGGCTTTTCTGCCTTGATGCTGTCACTCTCATTGTTCTTCCTGGCCTGAACCATCCTCCCTTTCTCTCTCTCTTTCTCTCTCTCTCTCTCTCTCTCTCTCTCTCGCTCTCGCTCTCGCTCTCGCTCTCGCTCTTGCTCTCTCTTGCTCTCCCTTTCTCTCCACCCCCAAATGTTCTGTCTTATCCCAGCTTAAAGACACAGCTGGGATATTTCTCAACTAATGGGGTCCACAGTGGTGTCTACCGTCTTTGAACGCCTATCACAGATTCCTCCTACTCATGGTTCCTGGAAAATTCTCACATCCTGCTTTGCGGAATGTTGAGCTATATTCTCATTTAGCTTCATTAATGCAGGTCTACGATCCCTCATCTGAACCCTTGGGCCAGATGTGTTTGAGAATTTAGACTTTTTTTATATTAGAAAGATAATACAGTGCATATATCATATATTATCTAACATCCCAGTGGAGTCTTGAGAAACATCCCATAATCAAGCACTTTTATATTTCTACTATAAACTGTGTATCTTTACACTAAGCTTATAAAGATGTTTTTTTTTAAAAAAAACCTCATCAGTTTAGGATCTGGTTTTGCCACCAAATTAGTTACAAAAAATCCTTTTGGTTTTAAGAGCTTTGTGGATTTCAGGATTATGGAAAGGAATTGTGGACCAGTTTACCTAATTATAGTTCCTGAGGCTGAATCTTATTGGTCGTGGCATCATACCCTACCCCACCTCCTGGCCTCCAAATCACAGATCCAGCACAGTGTCCGCCACAGAGTAGGTGTCCAATTGATATTTATTGAATGACTAATCCTTCTGAGCCTCAGTGCTGGGTGTCTGGAACAGTGGCTAGAAATAGGCGTAGGTTATAAGGCCCAGATCCCTTGACTCTGACTTTGATTTCTAATGATGTCTTTTTTCTTCTACAAGTGGAAGGCAGCTGAAAACAAAGCAACCTGGTTATTTGTTCAGGTAATAGGGGAATCAAGATGGAGATTCAAAGGTCTGAAAGTTCCATGATTCCAGGCAGTTCCCAGGGGGCAGAGATTACCTTTCTAAGGCCTCAGGAGAGCAAACAGTTGATTAGAAAGCAGCTGCCCATTTTCAGGAAATTCTGTTGATTTTTTTCTTCTTTACTTTCAACCCTTCAGCTCTTCCTCAAATAGGACTTTTCACTCTATCCCTGAAGAGAACTTCTTCCCTGGGTGGCAGCTATGAAGGTGTTCTACTAACGCTGGCTACAAATGCAGCAAAATGTTGTTGAAAGCACCCCAACTGTTAGTCAGGGGACCTGCGAGCTAGCCCTGGCCCTGCCAGTAACTTGCTGTAAGAGGGGATGAGTCCATACAATTCTCTAGGCCTCCGTTTTCCTATCTGTAAAATGGGAATGATGTGAGTTCCACCAAACTCCAGAACATTACTGTGACCAAAATGGAGGGCAAATAATTCTATAAATTAAAATTATTTTCAAATGTAAGGTAGTTTTAGTGACACTGGTGATTTTAACAACCTGTCATCTAGATGAGTGAATTCTTCCAGCCATGACTCAATAGATATTCATTTCCTGCCTGGTGAACTCTACCTATCTGTTGAGCTCATATCCTCCTTTGTGAAATCTTAGAGCTACCATGTATTTAGCGGCCTACTTTATGCAGGTCACACTACATACAGGCACACTTCGTTTTACTGCACTTTATTGCACTTCACAGATGTTGTGGGTTTTTTTACAAATTGAAGTCAAGACCTTCTACCAGCAAATGGATTATGACCCACTTGACTGTGATACTCGCTTTATTGCAGTGATCTGGAACCGAATCCACAGTATCTCTGAGGTATGCCTGTACATTATCTCATTTAATCCTCATAACAGCCCTGTGTGGTAGGTATCATTATGAGTTCCATTTTTTAGATGAGAACGCCGAAGCACAGAGTGGTTAAAGGCCTGGCCCAAGGTCACACCATTTTTAAGCACAAGTAGCAGAGCCAAGGATATTATACAAATTAAATTATTCTCTGCTCCTATAGCACTTTGTTTATACCTCACCTATGGTCCTTTAACCCACAGTCTGTCTCTCTTTCACGAGACTATGGAGTTCATAGAGTGCAGGATCCATGTCTTCATATTTTTCTGAAAAAATACTCAGTGAACTTTAGAAAATTGAATAAGTTGGAAGGGAATAGAATGGAATGGAAGGAAAAAGGAGGGAACTGGATGAAGTAACTGGCTGGCCTGGGATTTGCAGTACCAGAGAGCCTTGTCTTTCCAGTCAATTCCATGAGACTTCAGCCCACGTCTTCTAGTGCCTGCCATTAAAGAGGCATTTTAGACTACAGAAATAGCCAGTATCTTTGCCTCCTGTCTTAAGGTAAAGACTGCTGTTGGCATTCAAAAGACATTCAGTGAATATCTGTGGAAACTAGTGAACTCCTCAGTAAAAGGATTTATTTTCCATGTAAGAAGCTGTCTCCAAGGTTCTCTCAATCTCCACAAGTGGCCCAGAGTGACATAAGCACAGACTATTCATGGAACTCTTCCTAAAAAATAAAAGCTGTGGGACATATTGGAGGGAAAAATAAGATAGAATACAAAACTCTCTTACGAAGCATCAAATAATTATAGGACTTCCCAGCTCAAATCAAATTAGAGATGCTCAAAAGTTAAATGTCTTTAAAAACAGTAATAATAATCACTAGAAAGGTAATATTTACTGAGTACATACTGTGTGCCAGGCACTGTGCAAAGTTCTTTGAATGTATCATCCTGGCTAATCCTTACAAAAGCCCTATAACATAGCCACTACTATAGTCCCCATTTTCCAGATGAGGGAACTGAGGTTTAGGGAGGTCAATCAGTTTGTTCAAGATTGCACAAACATAAGTGGAAGAGCTGGGGTTAGAAGCCAGGCTAGTCTGATAATCAAGTTTTAATCAGTATACTTTATGACAACACATTTTAATTACCTTTAAAATAAGACTGGTGGGAGACAGGCATAATTTAATGTTTGGGTGAAGATGCTCTCAGTAGAGTCTTGGATGGCATGGGATCTGTATACGCACCTTTATGCATTTCAGCTTCTTTTTCTCAAGAGGGATAGCTGGCTGAGTGGCCCTGCAGAATGAGTCCTTGGAAATTTATATTCATTCCTTCCCTTCATTCTTTTTCATTCTTGGGTTTCTGAGACAACTCCCCAGTTCCTCTACACTGCTGCACCATGCTCCTGCCCAGCCCATGGGTCCATTCGATTTCCAAGCCTAGTCATAAGATTTGAGGCCTTAGACTGAAATAGATGCCCCTCTGAGCCAAGGTAAGGCTGCAGATGGAAACCCAGATCATTAGTGAGGCTAAAATGATATGTAACTACATTTCTGAACTTGTGCTGAGATTTATTGGTTCATTCTCACCACTTTTTACTTATTTCATTTTCATCCCTGTGAACAGCCATCTGTTTGTGATAGTTTTCAGCTGAGACTGGCAGACTCTGTCTACTAATGGCAGAACTGAGAAGAAAGTGGGATCTACTACACCGAACCATTGTCCTAGCCACTTAGGCAGGGAAATTGTATTTCAGGGTTTTATGCTGCCATTTCCATTCACCCTTTAATGAATGCTTTCTGTCCATAAATGAAGCAGAGATGGAAGAAGAGGTGAATAAGTGCTAACATAAATTGCAGTGCGCTAACCACAAATACAGGCTTTAAAAAATGTATTTCTTTGTTTTAAAGTCTAGTTTAAGGTGCTTGCTGATTTCTGAAGTACTTCCTGGGTTTTATTAGTGTGCCAGACACACCAACAATTGTTATTTCAAACCTTTATTTTGTAATCCATGCATTAGAGTGGAAGGTTGCTTTAAAAAAAGTATAAAGATCAGAATTTAATGTGTGCTTTCATTAGTATATGTCTCTCACTAATTCACCAGTCACATGTTAGGCAATGGATATTGAAGTTGAAATGAGCAGGCTCTGAAAAGCTATGATTGAGTTAGACTTTTAGTTTTCGGGCACATGTGTTTCTTTTTAGTTATGATTCATATCTATAAGGAAAAATTGGCAAATGGTGGGAGCAATACTTTTATTGTGCATACTGTATTTGTGTAATGACTGCACGTGGCTTTAGCAACTATACTCCAGTTACTTTCCATTGTGAATCATATCCAGGAAATAAATGAATGTGTGGTCAGGCTGACCATCTTACAACACTTGCCATGTTGCTTTGCAGCTTGGCTTCGGATCATTCCTTGGAATTATTGGATCCAACCTTGTTGAGAACAAACGGCAAATGGTAAGTTTTCATTGATGTAGAATCAAGTTATTTATCTGAAAATAACACATTTCTTAAGGTTACTCAGATTGGGCCTCAAAAGAAACTGCTATTCTGCCTTTTCTCATAAGCCTCCAGGGAACTTGTTTTCCAGTGAACTTGTGGTACGGGGCTTGTTCTCATCTTGCCTGATGCTCCCTCAGTGGCCTAGCTAGTCTCTTTAAGTCACAGGGATAGAATATTCTGGATCTTGCCCTTTGCTTTCCTCCTCACTCCCAAAGGAGTGCCCCAGCTTATTCAGTCAGGCTACTGTCCTCGCCTAGAATGCCTTTGCTTCTGTGATTTCCATTGCTGCAACCCTAGATTATTGGTGACTCTCACATCTTCCTCTCTGATGCATAATATTTTGAGAAAGTTTCTGCAGAGAGTTCCCACTCTTTGAGATTACAATCTAGGGGACTTTGATTAAGAGAACAAATATACTTGCGGCACACAGAAGACAAAATAAAATTATGAAACCAACCTAAAATATTTCCATTACCCATAGTTCCTAGGTAAACATGTTGTAAGTTCAAAAGGAAGGATGAGCATATAACAGGAGGTAAATCTTAGAAAGTTTTATGTCCTAATGGGGGCTCACAAGGGCAAGCTATTTTATTTTTCTGATTCAGTGTGAGAAGGCTTCCTAGAGAGCAGGAGAAGAAGGTACAAGCCAGATTGAAAGCATATTGCAGTTTTATATATAGGCTTGTAAATCAAGATGCCTGGTGAGTGGTCAGATGGTGAACTGATTAGGCTCCCCCAGCACAAGTCTCTGTGGCATTTTGACTCTGATAAGTGGTCTATTTAACAGCAACTTTAATCAGCTAACATAATACAGAGAACTGTAAACATATGTTCTCCCCCAGCAATGTGGGGATTTTTCCTCGGGGGAGTTCTAATAGTTCTCTTCTTCCATTTCACCAGGACTCCCCCCACTCACACCCCCCACCAGTTGTGTTTGCACTTTGGGCTGAAATTATTCAAAATAATAGGGGAGTTTTAATTGTAGAGCTGATCATAGCATAGCTAATAATTCTAATTTCATGACATCATTCATCCATTATTTACCAATTCCCTGTAGTGCTATGAAGTGAAATTTATGGGAAGAGGTTTCTGAACAACTCCTGAAGGAAATACGTACTTCCTCTTAGCCTGTTGACATGGGAGAACCTTAGGGTGGCCTTGATTTTGCTTCCTCCTTTTCCCCGGAAGGCTGCTTAATTCCATTCTATTTCTCCTTTTCTCCCAAACACCTCAAGGAAGAAAACCACTGATTCTATCTAGTTCTGAGGGTCAACACAAGCAGATGGTGGGCTCAGGCAGCACCTATCCCTGTCCTTAGAAATACCTTGAAACACCTACTTGCACATTGGGTTATAGTATTACCCTTGTAATGAAAGAAAAATTATTAGAAACATTTCTGATTTCTAACATAATCAGAGAATAAGGCAGTGTGGTTCAAGCAAACCATTGTTCCTACTTGAAAATTTTCTTATGCACCATACAGAGTTTATCAGTTTCAGAGACTTCAACCCTTATAAAATGTCTTTAACATTTAAGTCTTAATAAGCTGAATGTTCTCTTTCTTTAATGATACAGAAGGCTGTGAAGGGTTGTGCAGGGCCTCAGAATCACCCCTGTCTTCATCAGTGCCCACTATGAGGGATTGGGACGAACATTGGACTAGGAGTTGGTGGGCACCAAACTCTTCTGTGGACTACTAGATAGTGATCCTGGGCACACACACCACTTCCCCTCTCTGAGCCTCCAATTCCACAATAAATAAAATAGGGGGGTGGGAGTACATGATGTCAAAGGTCCAACATTTTTCTGAGTCTGAGAATGGAAGAGTCATGCAGTAAAATTCTGGCATGGACAGCATGCTGGATACCAGCAAGCCTCCTCTTCATTTGGTATTCACAAATTCAGATTCAGAGTGAATTTCTTAGCTTGCCCTGAAAATGTTAAAAGTGCTTCAGCGGCCCGCCCCTTCTCTGCTTCCACCTTCCCAAGCTCCCACTTATCTTGCATGACTGAAAAGAGCATCCTCATGGGGTGACAGGCCAGAGTTCTGCTTTGGCTGTCAGCTTCTTGGGGATCACCTAGTCTCCAGAAGCAGCAAGAGTGGAAGGCTAACAGCCACTTTTGTTTTGTTCCCTCTGCAGCTGGTGGCTTCTATCGTCTTTATCAGCTTTGGTGTGATTGCAGCCTTTTGTTGTGCCATAGTGGATGGGGTCTTTGCTGCCAGACACATTGTGAGTATTTTTAGTCCTAGGTTAAAGTAAGTGTGTAATATAACAAGGCTTCATCGAGTGTATGTTGGATGTGTGCTAAATGCCATGACAGGAACAGAAGAGGGAGAAGACAGGATCCCTGACAGTCAAGATGAGGACACCGATGGACACACAGGCATCCAAAGAGCTGGGTCTAAGCTGGGGAGATAGACTCTAAGTTCCAGAATGGTTTATCTTGGACTCTGCCTTGGACTCTGGGGGTCAGGGCAGGCTTCCTGGTGGTGGTGAAGCTGGAACCTTTGACATGTGGATGAGATTTGGAAAGGCAAAGACAAGGGCAGTGGGGCCAGGGGGATGGCTTGATGCTGGGAGTAGGAGGTAGGGAGAGAGGAGCAGGAAGCCACATGACTTCCTGACAGACTTAGAGGTTTCAATAGCTGGCTTCTCTCCCCTTTAATAGCAACAAGAGCAGACCATGAGGACAGAATCATCTTTTCTTGGATGTCTGAACTTTGCTGTCCCTACAACAGTGGTTGGAGAGTAGAGATATGATTGGGGTCTGAGGAAAACTCCAGAACTAGAAGCCTCCACTCAAAGCTCAGTCCTGGAATTAAGGTGCCAAATGCTTCCTACTCTGATGAATCTGTGTCTCAAGAAAGGCCAATTTATTCCTGAAACCCAAATATGTTCTTTCTCTGGGAAATCTTGGGATTCAGGGCATTCCTATGTAGCTCTCTACTAGATCCCTCAACCCCCTTTCACCACTTTCCATTTCATACTATTCCAGACATCTGGCCAAGGGCCGACTTCTCCATTAAGCATAATAGGCACAATGCCTATTACCCACAGTATTTTCAAGGTCACATAAAGATATCACCATTTATTTTCAAAGAAGTAAAATGATGAACTTTTAGGTCTAAAGAAAGTTTTTGCATATAATATAGATATATATACACCAATGCAGTCATAAGATTAAAATAAATAAAATATAATTTTCAATAGGTTTTAATGGAGGAAGGGTCCCACAAAAGTAGAAGTGCCTAAGTCTCAGGGAAGTCATAACATGGCTCTGATCTGGCACTCAAACCAAATTCAAAAGTGAGCTATAGCAACTTATTGAGCCCCACAGCAAACTCAAATACTCATTTGATTCCAACTGAACCAACATTTAAAATGAAAATATCTCATGAACAAGTTGCAAATTTTTTGTTTTCTAAAACAATTGAATTGGAACAAAATTGTATTTTCAGCATATTTTGTGGATTAATGATATTTTATTCCATTTTGGTCATTGACTAATAGTGCAGGTTATCCTGAGGGATTGTCATGGGTATGGTTGGATATGGGAAAGGATGATTTGCAACATTATTATATCAATTCCAACTTGTTCTTGGACCCTCCTCCCAGATATAAGAGTCAGCCCCTCCTTTGCCAAGATTAGAGGAGTTCATATGGTCAGCACTGCCATCCAAACAGTCTCTGAAATCTCATTTCAGGAGATAATTTCTGAGCAGGGAGAAAATAAAAAGGTGGGAGAGAGAAGCCCTTTGCCCAATTTTCTTTTAGGGCCATGAATATAAATGTAGGCCCTTTTATCAGACCCATCCCTTCTGATTTTATCTGAGAGCAGCCATCTTCTTCATTTTTTTCTTCTTAAAAAGGCAAATGATACATCAGGAACTTGTAACATCCACAATCCTATGACACTGACATAACAATTCTTATAATTTTTGCATATTACCCTCCAAGTACATACCTACTTTTGTAGCATGGTTGCAGTCAATCATAGTATGCATGCTATTTTGTATTTAACAGGAGCCATCTTAATAACAATAATGCCTTGTTTTTGAGTAATGCATTTAGATTTTCAATGTGCCTTCACATGTATTATCTCATCTGAGACCCATAGCAATCCTGGGAGGATTTTGGCACAGCAATATTATCCCCATTTGACAAGCAGTGTTCACTCTGAGGCTGTCTTCATGGCAACACAGGCCTTGTGGCAAACCAGAAGACTGCAGTAGGTTTTGATGGCATCATGAACTAAAAATGTCTTCCTCCATTCCCCCCCCCCTCGTTCCTATTTATTTTTATTAGTTTCAAATATAAAAAACAACATAATGATTAGATATTTACACCCCTCACAAAGCAATAACCCCACCAAGTCTACTACCCATCTGACATCATACGTAGCTATTACAATACAAGGGAAGATATTCCCAATGCTGTACTTCACATCTTGTGAAATATATACATACATACATATATTGCAGGTGCCAAAAAATATATACACATGACTTGTACTCATCTTTTGTTATTGGTATATATTGAATATCACAATTTTAATACATTTTTCCTTTCTTAAAATGTGTATACATTTTTTGGCACCCTCTGTATATATTTATAGTTGACATTCAATATTATTTTATATTAGTTTCAAGTGTACAGCACTGTGGTTAGGTATTTATCTAAGAAGTGATCCCCCTGATAAATCCAGTAACCATCTGACACCCTATATAGTCTACAACATTATTAATTTTATTCCCCATACTGTATTTCACATCCCCGTGACTATTTTGTGACTACCAATTTGTACTTCCTAACCCCATCACCATTCACACCCATCCCATAACCCCTCTCCAATCAAGCAACCATCAGTTTATTCCCTGTATCTATGAGTTTATTTCTGTTTTCTTTGCTAGGCTATTCTGTTCTTTAGATTCCACATATAAGCGAGATCATACGGTATTTGTCTTTCTCAGTCTGACTTATTTCACTTAACATAATGTCCTCTAGGTCCACCCATATTGTTGCAAATGGTAAGATTTCGTTCTTTTTTATGGGAGAGTAATATTCCATTGTATAAATGTACCACGATTTCTTTATTTTTTATTTTGTTTCCCTTGCCTGAGGAGATATATCAGTAAAAATATTACTAAGGGTAGTGTCTGAGATTTTACTTCCAATATTTTCTTCTAGGAGTTTTATGGTTTCAGGTCTTATATTTAAGTCTTTATCCCATTTTGAGTTTATTCTTGTATATGGCATGAGAAGGTAGTCCAGTTTCATTTTTTTGCATGTATCTTTCCAGCTACATTTATTAAATAGACTATCTTTACCCCAATGTAAATTCTTGCTTCTTTTGTCATAGAGTAAATGACTGTATAGGCATGGATTTATTTCTGGGCTTTCTATTCTGTTCCATTGATCTATGTATCTGTTTTTAGTCCTATACCATGCTGTTTTGATTACTATAGCCTTGTATGGTGTTTCCCCAAAAATATGACATAACTGGAAAATAAGCCCTAGCATAATTTTTCAGGATGCTCGTAATATAAGCCCTACCCCAGACATAAGCCCCAGTTAAGATTGTCAGCCAGACATGACTGTTTGAATAAATGTAGATTTTTGTACATGAATAAATGTAGATTGTTGGAGCAAAAATTAATATAAGACCCGATCTTATTTTCAGGGAAACACAATCAATAGTATAATATGATATAAGGTAGCATGATACCTCCAACTTTGTTCTTTCTCAGGATTGCCGTGGCTATTCAGGGTCTTTTATGGTTCCATATAAATTTCAGGATTATTTGTTCTAGTTCTGTGAAAAATACCATTGGTTTATTCATAAGGATTGCATGGAATCTACATATTGCTTTGGGTGGTATGGACATTTTAACTATATTAATTCTTCCTATCCATGAGTGTGGTATATGTTTCCATTTATTTGTAACTTCCTTAATTTTTCTCTTTAATTTTCTGAGTACAGGTCTTTTATTTCCTTGGTTAAATTTACTTCTAAGTATTTTATTATTTGATGCAATTGTAAATGGGATTGTTTTCTTAATTTCTCTTTCTGCTAGCTTGTTATTGGTGCATAAATATGCAACTCATTTCTCAATATTAATTTTGTATCCTGCTACTTTACTAGTTTCATTTATCAGTTCAAATAGTCTTTTGGTGGAATCTTTGGGGATCTCTATATATAGTATGATGTCATCTGCAAATAATTACAATTTTACTACTTCCTTTCCCATTCAGATGCTTTTTATTTATTTTTCTTGTCTGATTTCTGCGGATAGAACTTCCAGGACTATGTTGAATAAAAATGGTGAAAATGGGCACCATGTCTTGTTCCTGATCTTAAAGGGAATGTTTTTAACTTTTCTCCATTGAGTATGATATTACCTGTGGGTTTGTCATACATGGCCTTCATTATGTTGAGATATTTTCTCTCTATTCCCACTTGGCTGAGAGTTTTTATCATAAATGGATGCTGGATTTTGTCAATTTTTTTCTGCATCTATTGATATGACCGTGTGTTTTTATTTTTAATTTTGTTTATGTAGTGCACCATGTTAATTGATTCACAGATATTGAACCAGGCTTGCATCCCAGAAATGAATCCCACTTGATTGTGGTGTATGATATTTTTAATGTATTGCTGAATTTGGTTTGCTAATATTTTGTTGAGGATTTTTCATGAATATTCATTAGCGATATTGACCTATAGTTTTATTTTTTGTAATGTCTTTGTCTGGTTTTGGAATCAGGGTAATGGTGGCCTCATAAAATGAGCTTGGGAGCCTTCCCTCCTCCTGGAATTTTTGGGATAGTTTGAGGTGAATAAGTTTTAATTGTTTTCTGAATGCTTGGTAAAATTCACCTGTGAAGCCACCTGGTCCAGGACTTTTGTTTGTTGGGAGCTTGTTGATTACTGATTCACTTTTTTTGGTAGTATTGGTTTGTTCAGGTTTTCTGTTTCTTCTTGATTCAGCCTCGGAAGATTGTATATTTTTGGAATTTATCCATTTCTTCCAGATTGTCCAAATTGTTGGCATATAGTTGCTGATAGTATTTTCTTAAATTTTTGTTTTTGTATTTCTGAGGTGTTGGCTGTTACCTCTCTTTCATATCTGATTTTTTTAAAAGATTTTATTGGGGAATTGGGGAAGAGGAATAGTGTTGGGGAATTGGGAAAGGGGACCAGCCAAGTTGTTGTTCTTCAATCTTCGTTG